TTTTTTTTTTAACTTAAAAACTTTAAATATTTATAAAATAAAAAAAATAAATTAAATATATTAATATATATTTTCTTTTTCTATAAATTTTGAATATAAATAATAAAAAAATTATATTAATTTATAATAAAAATAATAATATTAATATATATTTAATTTTTCTTTTTTTTTTTTATAAATTTATTTCCTTTTTTTTTGGTTTTTTGGTTTTTTATTATCAATAATCAATTTTATTATTTTATGTCGAGTACTATACATTATATTATATGTTGTGAAGTTTAATTTTTTTTTTAGAAAAAAAAATCACCAGTACTTAAAGCAAACCAGGTAACATGATTGGATATAAAATCCAACCCAAAATAATTCAATCATTTTTAACTCAATAACTTTTTTTTAACTCAACCCCACTATCATCAATATTATCAATATAATTAAATAATATCAACCAATCATTCTTACACACAACATCAACCTTAATTCACTTCACATGAATTTAACTAACCATCACATCACATCTTCTCTCTCCTACTTTTACATCAATTTAATTTTAATCATTTTATTTTAAATATTATTTTATATATCAACTAACAACTAACAATACCAACTTTTTTTAAATTTACCCAACCCAAACAAAAAAAATCCAATCAAAACAAATTTTTTTATATCCAATCATGTTTAATGAATTTAAAAAAAAAATGGGTATGCGTTTGTGATTGCGTGTGATATAACAATACTAAATAATATCAACTCTTTCACATAACATTCGATTTGATAAAATCAATATTTAAATAATAAATAAAAAACGAGGGATTTAAAGAAAGAATCCCTGCAATTGCATAATTACATGATCAGAAAAAACTAATTGAAGCAAAAAAATCGCATGTGCTATCTTGTCAAAGATTCATACAACGACATTTTCTGTTTCGATTTCTCAAACTCAAATAAAAAATGTAAACAATTAAAAAAAGGCCATAAAAAGTAATAATCTCTGATGGGACACAACCAGCAGGCTTAAAGACATGAGTTTTTTGGGCAAAAAGAGCATGGCAAAGAAAATGTGAGCAGATGAATCCATAGAAAGCAGATAAAGACGCAACTTTTCTACCCCTCCACAATTTTGCATTTGAATGCTGATCACTTGAATTTACTTTTTAAAAAAATACAAATTTTCAGTTATAAATTTTGTAACATATCATGGTTAGGTTAAACAAGAAATCTAGTGTACAAAATGAATAAGATATTTTTGAGACAAAAATTGTTGGTATTTAGAATGTGTAACCTTTAGACACTAATAATTTTATATGAAAATTACTCATACTATCAAATAAAATACTTTAATTTATACTATATTTTAAAATATGAAACTTGAATTTGAATATATATGTATAGATATATTGAAATATTACTGCCGTTTTACTATTAGACAGACTAGCGAAACCTACATTTTTTATCACATCTAATGCTTTTTACACCATAAAATTTAATATAACTATGGGAAATATTCAAAAGCTTATAAGCCATAAAAAGGACATCTTTTCAGTTCATGAGCTCTTGATCATCTTCAGAGATGCATTCAAGAGTTCACAAGCTCATACAAAACCACCTAGAAAAGAGGTTTATGGATAAAATATAACTGTAACAACACTTGAGATATTAACATATATAGGCTGACAAATTATCCATAATCCAAGATTATCTCTTGAACACTGGCCGGCCCATGAATAAAGAGTTCTTGATCAATAATTGATTAATTTCTCACTCAAAAAAANTTCCAACCAAGCAAATCCTCAACACAATTCGACCAAGAAAATTAAAAGGACCAACATTTTATCCAAACCCCCAAAAGCACTTAAACTCTTGTCACCTTTGTACTCATTATTAGGCTTCATATTCTCACCACCACCAATATCAGCGGAGCTTTTGTTCGCGAACGTTTTGTTAATCTGACTCGACAAACAAATAGGGTTTCTCCATAATCTCGACTTCCCACCACTCGTCCCCGACGAATCTCGATAGCTAGTGCACAAACCATTATTTTCTCGAAAATCGAACCTCACGCCAAGGCTATCGATAAAATCCCGAGAAAACGAAAGCTCACCCGAAAATCGATTTTGGCTCAAATTCAACGAGTTCAAATTAGGCAACCACCCTAATTCTCGAGGAACCTCACCGGTTAACCGGTTATTATCCAAGGATAAAACGGTCAAACTTGTCAAATTCAAAAATTGGGCCAAGATCGGGCCTTTAAGCCCGCAGCCCGATAAGCTCAAAACCGAGAGCCTCGAAAGTGACTAGATAAAATTCGGAAAAGTCGCGTTTAACGGGTTTTCGTCCATTATCAGATACTCCAATTTCTGCAGGCCCGAAAGCTCGTCGGGAAGTTGACCGGTCAACAAATTACGGCTCAAATCCAATAAAGTTAGAGTCTTTAATTCACCAAATTCCACAGGCAGAGTCCCCTGAAGCCCATTGAAGCCCAAATCGATTTTCTCGATCGATTTTAACCGGCCCATCGAGCCCGGCAAGCTTCCCTGCAGAAAATTCAAGCTCAAATCAAGAATGGATAAATTTCCCAGCTCGCCAATTTCGACAGGGATCGGGCCCGATAAATTGTTTCGGCTCAAATCGAGCTGCTGCAAGCTCTCGAGTTTTCCGATTGTTGCCGGAATTCGGCCGGTGAGGCTGTTTTCCGGCAGGCAGAGTGTCCGGAGATTTTTGAGATTCGATAAATTCGACGGGATTTTTCCGGTGAGGCTCGGATTTGACGAGAGAGTTAAGTGTTCCAAAAATGGGAAAGGCCCGAAAAGCGATTTTGGTAAGAAAACAGGGGATTTCGTGTTTGTGAAGCAGCTGATTAAAGACAGGGTTTTTAGGTATGGGAGTTTGAGGATTGAGTCAGAGATTCTTGCGGAAGGTTTGCAAGGAGGGGATGACACGTCAGGGCCGACGTGGATCTTGGTGACGTGGAAGGTCGGAGAGTGTACGAGAAGCTCGCATTCGAGGCCCGGCCATGGAGTGTCCGTGCAGGGGAATGGGTGCATTTGGGCCCAAGATGGGTCGTCCAGGAGCGAGCCCATTACCTCGAAAAGCCCAAATAGCTCTTTCTCCTCCATATCAGGGCCGCCGGCGGCGGCGGAAGTTAGAACCGCCAAGAGAATGATGGGCACGAGGGACATTAGAAAATAGTTTCTTTTAAGGGGGAAAAAAAAGAGATGGAATTTTTTGTTCACTCAAAGTTTTGTACCTAAATTATGTAAACAGAAACGAAATGTACTTGTAACTTGTAAGGAAATAAAGATGTGTTTTTTTGAAAAAATAAATATTCTCATGATAATGTGTTGGAGGGGTATATTAAAATAAGAGTCAATTGGTAAACAGTCAAAACTAGTTAAAAACGATAAAAAAAAAACTGATCATCAATTAAAGTGAATTATTTTGAATAAAGTTGATTGAATGAGACGAGAGTGATTGTACTTAAATAATATTTAAAATATAATGATTAAAATTGATGAGATAAAAAAGTATGAGACATATGATGAAAGTGATAGATAATTAAAAATTTGTGAGCGGATGAATATTGAGTTAAAGTTAATATGATATATAAGAGAGATGATTGATATTATTTAATTTTATTGATAACATTGATGATAAGAAAATTGAGTTAGATTTTGAATTAAAGTGAATAAAAAAATAAAATTGATCCAATTGAAATTGATTTTGATCAGTTTTGACTCCTTGTCACCCCCTTCATGTCTCATCCTAAACAAAATATAAATTAATTAACGGAATAAAAAAAATATTAAAAATAATAACATGGTTAAAATGGACAAGTCCATCATCTATCATTAAGTTGCGACCGTGCGAAAATTCCGGGATATGTAATTCTTTCGGGATGAAGAATCTCTTTGTAGCTGCTAGAGAACAATTGGAAGATTCTGTAGAAAAATTATTGGCCTATGCTTATTGGTTATTCAAATTAAGTCGTTTTATTTTGAAGAAAAACTATTTGATGATTTAACAGGCTTTAAATTTTGTGAGGTGTATGTAATAAGGCTGCATGGAAACTAATAAGAGGTCGAAGACGGTGACTGTGTTTGCCGCAATTAGGATCTGTGAAGCTGAGCCTAGCATGCAGAGTAAGGGGATACGGTTGCTATTTTGATTAAATGTAGGGGCAATATTGGAAAAAAACGTTAAAATGAGCCAGAGTTGGTCAAAATATGTCTTTTT